CCCCCCCCCCCCCCCCCCCCCGACGCTGACCTCTGGACAGGCGCTGTGAGGGAGACCCCGGTACGACTTGAAGGTGATGTTGTTTGGATTGATGAGGCTTTTCATCTTCTCCGCCGTCTGGCTGCCAAACGCAAATGGCACCAGGGGGTCGGCATCTCCGTGGCACTGGAGGACGTGCATGTCCTTGTTAACACTGGTGGCAGACGCCTGAGAATAGAAGAGATTAGGATTATTCACATGATCTCGTTATGACAGATTAGGATTTAGCAATAGGATATTCCTTTAGTGCAATTCCAGTAAAGGAATGGATCACATTTTACGGACATTATTAAGCAATTCAAATTCAATTTCAACTAGCAAAGAAGATTAATTTTAACTTTCAAGTGAACAATTTCTGTAAACTTCTGCTTGAGTATTTACTGAACCACTGAAGAATTTGCATTTAAGAGACTGAAAATCTAAATTAGGTATTTTTGTTGTCTACCTGAGGGAAGGAACTGCGGAGAGGAAGCCAGCAGCTCAGAGCGACTACTCCAGCTAGCTTCTGCTGCGTTGTCAAAGCCGTGTAGAGAGACAACGCTCCGCCCTGGAAAACACAAAGCAACACTTTAGGAAACAAAATCCTACGTTGCGTATCTCCCATCTCTGTCATCAACAGACACAAAGAGCATAAAATAATTGGCTTCATGGCAGCAAAGAACGGAGGTAATTTCAGATTCCTGCTGCATAACAAGAACAGACCTGACTGTTATTCTCTGGAACTAATTTAAGCTTCGTCTATTATTAACTAAACGCTCGCGTAGATGGCTGCTACTGCGTGTTGCTGCAGAGCTGGACCAGCCCAAAGTGATACTAACAGATCTCTAAAGTTCTACTGTTGGTGTTGACCTTGTGATCTTCACAGTAAGGATTAAAGGGTTATGTAGCAGATCTATTTATTGGCTCCGCACAGCGACCTCCTGGAGTCTCTTCTGGTTGTCTGCCAAGAAGCAGTCCGATGCGTAACCCACCTGTAAAATGTTGAAATGTCATTTTTTAACACCTTGGTTTTTGTACGACCGACATGTAACATGTTGAGAAGTGAGCTTTAGAGGTGCAGGATGTTGTTACTGTGTTTCTAAGCGAAGCTAACCAGCTACTGGCTGTAGCTTCATATCTAACGGACAAATATGAGAATATGTTCCTCTCACATAACTCTCCACCAGAAAGCAAATTTCACAACATTTTCCCCCAAAAGTTGTTGATTGAATCTTACACGCAACTTCCGCCAAATCCCGTAATCCTACTTAATAAATTGTGTTTGATTCATGTGTTTCACTTTAAACAACTTCAGACACTTGTGGACTTAGATGGAGATAAAACGAAGACGTGTTCTTCTTTTCTTCGGCTGCCTACAACACAACTCCTACTGATTTTTGTGCTTACTGTCAACTGAAGGCTTATGAATAGTCACACTCATAATCATCTATCAGCATTACACTGTAATTCCTTCACATTTTGAGTTTCGTCACTCCAAAGTAGCACGTTTTTTGACCCCAGATGTATTCTAAGCACGGCTTGGTAAAAGTTTTTCAAACGTATGCATTTATATTTTTGAGAAGTGAGTGCCTTGAGAAGTGCACTTAACGCGTGTGTACCTTTTGGGATTTGGTTATTCAAATACATTAAATACATAAGCACTGACTCACCGTAAAAACAGTGTTATGCAACCAGTCATTTGCATACAAGGCACACTTACCTGTGAAAATCCACCCAGGAGGATTCTGTGTGACGGTATTCCATTTTTCACTTCTTGGTCTATCAAGGCTTTAACTGTGAGGAAATAAAATAACGCTTACAATCTAATCGGACTCACAAGCTCTTTATGCAAACTCACACAAAAACAGCAGCACATCTCGATCATGAGTTAAGATTAAATTAAAAAGGACGTACGGTTCTCCGACGCTCTTTTAATACCAGCCTCATCTTCACTTGCATCTGGGCTCAAGCCGTAGATATCAAACCTGTACGTGAGGGAAAACGCGTGAGGCTCATTGTATTTGTGATGGTCCGCAGTCTCTTCAAACGGGTTCAAATACTGCGATACTCACCAAGAAGGCATGGACATTCTCATGTTCAAAGAAACAGGCATGGTGGGACTGTAGTCAATGAAGAGACGTTAAATCAAAATATGGCTTAACTGCATAAAATATACAGATGTTGCAGCGACTGAGTTTAGAGATTTCACACCGTTAATGTGTATTACAGGGCAAGATATGCTATATGTGTTGAAATTAGGTGCTTTCAGACTTTTCCCCCAGACACTCTGGGTAATGTTATAGCTGCTGTGAATACTTACGCGTGTGGACAGATGTATTTCACATGTGGCAACCTGATGCCTGCGAAACCTTCTGCCCAGCCATGCCTATCATATTGGACAAAAATCAAAGCAATTCAAATAAAAGTAGACTGTCTATATGAGAGACAGGTGATAATTATGTTGCACCAAAGGAGAAAAATATGCTGTCTGCCTGTAATTTACCCAGTATCACCAAGGCCATGCAGAAATATCACCTGTAAAAAACACACAGGTGAGTTATAGGCGTCTGCATGTCAGCAGCAGCGTTTATTATTTAGCTGTGTAGTTATTGGTTTTACTTTTGTTTTAACTTCAACTAGCTGACCGTTAACTAGTGTTGTCTGGTTAACTCACCGCCGCAGTTGCTTTCCGGGCAGCAGGCACAATGGCAGGTAAAGGCACTGACATGTTATTGCCGCACATGCAGCGCTGAGGCAGCTGGGTAGGGACAAGTTAGCTACTGTGAGCTAATAACTGTCAACCCGACTCTGGCTGTCAAATACCAGTTAAAAAGACGAATGTCGACCCAAGATGGTGGTCAACGAACCGCCCCCTCGTATTTACCTCTGGTAGTCGTGGATTTCTTTGTAGAAGTTGGATTTTGTTGTAAAATAATACACCGCCGGGATAACACTATTCTCCACCTGAACTGACACCGTTTTTTATTTAGTCCCGCCCCCTCATCTTACCTGATTGGCCGTCATCGGAGGTTTTCCACAGATGCAAAGCACTGATTGGTTGGTTGAAATGTCAATAACCGCTACTTGAATAGCGGCTCAAAGGCAAAGTACATTTCGACACCTCTGAAATAGAGACAATGAGATTATGCAACAAGAAAAGTATTACATTACGAAATAGATATTAGATGTGTAGTTTGAACATGTAGCATATTGTGTCGTGACCCTTGACACAGATTTTAAATGTTAAAATGTTAAAATGCTTTTTTGATTTGTTCTATTTACCGATTAAACGTTTAAACGGTTATTACATTTACTTAGCTAACCTTAACGATACTAATATTGAATGGCAATCACCGATAATGCGTCACAGCTCAACGTTTAAATAGTACATTTTGATGGTCGTGCTTTTATTTTGAAACCCAAGCTAAGAAGAGGTACTTCCGCTCACCTCGGTCACGTGACCTGCATGTCCTTGGTTTGGCCGTCTTTGACATGTGAGCAACAGAAACATGTCTTTCCCCAAAAAAACTGGTGGCAAAGCGTTGAGCGCTTTGCAGAATCTGCCCCGGATAACTTTAGCAAACTTGCGGCCTGAACCGGGAGCTACAAAGCCGGTAAGTTTTAATGTGGCATCTGTATTAAAGCGATCTTTTTGCAGCCCATTCTAACTGACAGAGCTAGTTAGCACGTTATGCTAGCCAGTGGATACAAATGCTAACATCCTGTCTGTTGTTTTGATGGAATGGATACATTAGCTACAATGTTTCTGTGATTGTAGGTGACGCGGCGGGGTAGAGGACAGCATGGTGGCAACAGGAGCGGCCGAGGACACAAAGGAGAGCGACAGAGAGGCACCCGGCCTCGGCTGGGATTCGAAGGGGGTCAGACTCCGTTTTATCTCGCAATCCCTAAATATGGCTACAATGAAGGACACAGGTAAAAACAACTTGTCACCCTGTTCTCCACCTTTTAAACTAACCAGTGAGTGTTTTGCAAAAGAAATGCAGTCTTTGTTGTTATAAGTTACACAAGCGAATAGATCATATATTACAAGTTGTCATTTAAAATGCAAAATAGCCTTTAGGATTCCCTGTTAAACTTGTGCAAACATCTCACAACTAGATGACTTTCTTAAATTAAACTTCTACTACTACCTCAGTTAGTTTCAGTCTTATATTTGGGTATTTGTCACAATATCTGGTGGTAAAACTCTGTTCAAAACACCAAACCCTACACATGTTGATGCACTTATGTTGAAAGAAAGCCACTTTCACCCAAAGACACCTTATTGGTCCTTCCCAAAAGATTATTTTGTTTTCGCTGTTGCTTTGGTAAATAATTCAGTCAGCATAGTTTTTGCACAGATGATTTTTGTATTGTACTTTGAAAGCATTTGCTGAACTGAGCACCAGATTGTGGTGATCACAAATAATTTTGAACACTGTTTGTGTGCTCCTCCTCAGCCGGCGGCCACAGTACCAGCCTCTGTCATTGAAACGGCTGCAGTACCTGATTGATCTGGGCCGAGTCGACCCGACCCGGCCCATAGACCTGACCCAGCTGGTCAACGCCAGAGGAGTGACGGTCCAGCCTCTGAAGAGGGACTATGGAGTCCAGCTCGTTGAGGAGGTAAGCTTAAAGCATGCTGTTGATTATGGACGTTTTCACCCGTAGCATCAATGAAACGAGAGTTAAAAGATTTCTAGTTGTGTCTTTTGAAAAAGATACCTAAGGCTGACGGCAAGCTATAGATGTGGAGAAAGAACAACTTCATTACACTCTAGACACTCTGGTTTTGCTTCCATTGCTCACTGAGCCATTTGATGGTCATCTTGTGCCAGTAGGTGGCACCACATAACAACGTTGTCATTCTATCACAGGTCAAGATGTTGTTTTTTTGGCCTCTTGTATTTTTTTCACACCGCTCTGCCAGAAGTTGCTCCTTTCATGTGCTTTCTCTGTTCCAGGGTGCCGACATTTTTGCCGCAAAAATCAACATTGAGGTTCAGAGAGCTTCTGAAGGAGTCGTAGCTGCTATTGAGAAGAACGGAGGGGTCATCACTACCAGTTTCTATGATCCTATAAGTCTTGGTAACTAATGACGGATCAGTCTTACACCCTCACTGACGTTATAATGTTCATCTTGTGTATTTTTAGATAATAAATACAATCTCTTTTACGCAGGGATCGTCATCAAGCCCGTCCCGTTCTTCTTACGCGGGCAGCCCATCCCAAAGCGAATGTTACCCGGGGAGGACATGGTCCCGTATTACAGAGATGCTGAAAACCGGGGTTACTTGGCAGACCCGGAGAAAATCCAGCAGGCCCGGCTCGCCCTGGCACAGAAGTATGGATATATTTTGCCAGACATTTCAAAGGATGAACTGTATCACATGCTCTCCATGAGGAAGGATGTTCGACAGATCTTCTTTGGCCTCTCTCCAGGGTGGGTCGTTAGCATGCCAGAGAAGAAGATCCTGAAACCAACTGATGAGAAGCTCCTGAAATATTACAGGTCATAGGCGGGAGATGTAAAATATATCTTTATGTACAGTATCTCATGGAAAAAATCTGATTTTTGGATGATAGTCTTGGACATGTTTTCTGTTTATATTAAAAACTGTTTAAGAAAGAAGTGTTTGGTGTCCTATATTTTAAAAGGTATATTTATGACGTACGAGTATTTCTGACATCTGACGGCCTCGTGTCAAAGCACAACTGGCTCGTGCGGCATGATGGAAGGAACGTGAACTGTAACAGGTGAGGGGGAAATAAGGAAAATAAGATAACTCAAAGAATGAAAACAGGAAACAGATGCCTGGTGATGTGTGTTACTTGTGAAATGGGTTGCCTAGGCTGTAGTAGAGGGGGTTTTAAATTAGTCATATGCAGCTGTATCCTGGTGTGGACGTTCAAAAGATCTCACTCCATCCTCTTGGAGTACAATCACAGACAAACGCATACATACAACTTTAACCCTGTTATGCCTCGGACATAAAAGTGCCATGAAAAAAAAAATGTTTATGCTTTGAGATCTAAAGGAAATTGCAGTGACTTAATCTTGATATTTATCCCAAAATGTACATATTTCAAGTCTTCTTTTGCTGAGATTTAAAAATGACAGCCAAGTTATTGTGAAGCAGAATCTCATTAAGATGTTTGAGATATTGCAATCGACACTCTCTGGCACTAAACACCCTGCCTGTACCAGAATATATACGCTCGTAGGTTTGGGCTGTATAATTGTTCTCTTGTGCTCAAACTCTCCATTACGCTAATGTTTGTTTTTTGAAGTCAAAATGGCACACTCACTATAAATAACTTGGTATTTTACGCAGATATTGTCTTAAGGGATGCTGCCAGCGAGTTTCTGCTGGTTTAAAAACACTTTATCAAAGGAAGCATATGTTTGTGTGTGCGTGTGTGCAAGACCGTAAGCATTGTGTTTCTATACAAAGTCCCCTCTGCCATGTTGGTTACTGGAAGGCAGGTCTCAATTATTATTATAAGAATACAAATAAAGTGACAAGAAAATATGATGCACCAAACTGAGTTAAATATAATTCTTTAATTGTTTTTAATACAATAATAAAAATGAAGCCTTTGAGGTGGGTTTCTTACCGTATCTGTACGTTTCATTATGTGTTACCATAAGACACAATGGTTACACTTTGATGACTTTGCTTGTGGTTCCCTGAGTGTTTTTCCTGAATCTCAAGTATCCAATAAACTACACAAGTAGTGGATACGTACACAGCCGGCCCTGCCAGGAAAACCAGCCCAAATCCTTACAGCATAATACTTTAAATAAATCACGCCACAGGAAAGAAACAGCACAATCATTGTTTATGGCAGAACTACAGCGCTTATCTTCAAAGCAGCAGATCCTTTTGAATTTGTATCAAGTCTCAGACGAGCAAAAAGAGAGAAAACGAGCGAGCACAAACATCAAGTCTGTGAAATGTGTGGCTGCAGAGGGTTTGCTTGAAAGAATAAAGAAATCCAATCAAGTGTTTTCTCCCCCAATTACACAGAAAACAGCCATTCACTTTGGCTAAAAAGATTTGTTAGTCTGTTTTAGGGCTCTGGTTTCCGCTCCAAATAATCTAATGTCTGAGTCTAACCAGTTCACACTATTTAATTAAACATCCAAGCATTGCTGCAGGAGCTGAGCTGAGCAGCCCGGATTGTTTTGGTTATCTGCTGCCGTGAATGAGCCGTTTAAGACAGACACAGATATCACGGTGTCTCACAGGTCTCAGTCTAGTTCCAGTTAATAAATGAGGGCTAATTACAGCTAAATGCAGCCGTCGTTTCTTCTGTCTGCAGAGGAGAGACGCATTGGCCTGCATCAAGGTCAGATTTACACAAATACTGCAGGGGGACTTTGTGTCCAGAAACATGGATGTAAATATATAATATAATGTATAATAAACAGCCTGCAGTGGCACAAAGCCAGTAACATCCAAAGCTCAGCTGTCTGGACGATAAAAGAACTGGAAGACTCATTAAATTCCTCAGATAAGACTCTTATCAGAACAATACAGTTCCTAATTTACAAAGAATAGCACTTTTTTTCGGCACGAGTGGAGCTTTGCCTCATTAGCCAGTCTGCATGATAAACAAATGCAATACGATTAGAGACCAGTGTGACTGCAATTGAAGAGCCAGACTGAAGATTCGATGGATGTTTTCTTGGTATATCAACAGTAAGTGCACATTCGTCATTTATCAGCTAAATAATAATTCTGATATTTAATTAGATTTTCAAACTGCAGCTAATGATTATTTTCATTATCAGTTAGTCCGTCGATTGTTTTTTAAGATTAATTATTTAATTGTTTGCTATAAAAAAATGCAGAAAATACAAAAGCAATGAATTCGCCGTCTCTGTTAAATCTTAGAATATATTAATATTAAAAAGTAATTCAAAGTACTTTGACTCCCTAGAAATGTGTTCTAAGTAACTTTAACACTTTATCTCATTTTCTTATTTCTAACTTCTTTTTTTATATTTATTATGGTTAATTTATTTATCTCAGTTCTTCCTTTTTTTGCAGTCATGTTTGACATTGGCTTGTTTGAGCTTTTGCATTTAAAAAAACTAAAAGGTGACGTCTTAAAATTGATTGTTTTATCCGAATCACCGTCCAAAACACAAATAAAATGAATTTACAAACATCTAAGACAAAGAAAAAGCAGTAAATCCTCACATTGTGAGACACCGGAAGTAGTAACTATTGATCAGTGGTCGATAAACTAATCGTTTGAATCGTTAAATGATGTGAGCTGGATAAAACCGGTGCAAATGTGCAAATCCTCAGTACTCAGGTTTCCTCTTTTGGCCTTGCACCCTGCACATTGTAGGTTTGAGTCTGTGTTTGAAGTCTGGCTGAGCCAGGCCTGTTATCTCAGAGGTGGGGGCATCATTGTGTTCTGCTAATGAGGCTACATTAAGCCTGTCTACACCAGGGGGGCATGTAATCCTCTCAGCTGGCCTGACGTATAGCGCCGGCCGGGCAGGGCGCTGTTTACACGGGGAGTGTGGAGGCTAGCACTCAGGACCCCAGCCCTTAGTCTACTGTTGAATCTGCTCAAACACGTGATTAAGATGTGGAGGTGGGAGCGGGGGGGGGACACCACTGCATAGAATGGTGTGTGAGTCTTAACAGAGTGTATCTTGATGCTGCCCTGCTGTGCCAACACAATACAACACAATGCAATGCAGTCCCTCGCCGCGAAGATCACGGTCATTATAGCCCATTTCACACCTTCCAGCTATGAAACAATGCAGCTCTTTATGAATGAGCCACTGTAAGGAAAGTCGGTGGGATGGCACTGAGGACAGTTAGGAATACAGTGCTTCATTACCAGAGGTCAAGACACAGGCCTCCTGCTTCACGCTCCTGTGGTTTTGTTCTTTGGATGGATATCTTCAGGTCAGCAAATCCTCAAATATCCATAAAAAGAGAGGAGTCAAGAGATCAGCAGCTGTTGTGGCTTCACTCACAAAGAAAGCTATGGTCCGCACAGAGACAATGTGTTCAGGAAACCATCCTTTTCGTCTACAAATCATATCAGACTATAAATAAGTGCTCCAAATCCAGCTAATATCCAACCCCGAGCATCATCCAGAGAATCCACGACGGGCCCCGCTTTGTAAATCCTGCTAAACTGTCATGAACTCCTGCAGGTCTTCGGCTCTACCTGTGCCCGCTTCGCCATCACGGATCCAAAGTGAAGACGGAGAGGAGTGTCCCATATATGACTTCTGTCCAATACAATGGCACATTGTGATCAGAAGGCCACGGAGAACAATCCCTATTCAGAAAGCATTGTGCCCATTCTGCTTGTTTGGCTGTGAGACAATGCAATGATACCCTACAGTCACCTTATAGATTAGGATTCATCAACAGGGCCAGAATAAAGGGCAGATGACATGTTTTTGTCTTCTTTTAATAGGGTGAATTACGGATGAGTGGGACTGTTTTTGAATTTGTTTGTGGTTGATTAGGAATCCACGCACATGAAGCATTTGGAAACCAGAGCACAATGGTTCTTTACAACAAGTTGGATATTTGTGTTCACTAGCGAAGGCTTTTAACACTGTCCCAACCACCTAAACAACCTAATTCCAAAAATAGAAACATCATATTAACACATTTTTACCGATTTTGTTGCCGTAGTACATCACGTTCATGTTTCCATCAAAGCTTTGTGGACTATATTTGTTAATATTATGACCTTATGAAATGTCCTTTTCCTCACCTCATGTTTTGCAGGGTCAACTTCCTGTTTGATGTTTGCCCCTCCCACCTACGTGACGTCGCAATGTACGTAGTTTAAAAAAAAACTAAAGGTTTTTATTTTCACTCCTCAGTCGAGAAAATAAACTCTGTTATTCAATGTGGCCTAACACCCAATCACCCTTAATTCACTGTACAGCCGAATCATGTTCTTTAAACGTCCTGGTGGTAAATGAATGCACGAAATAAGTTGACGACGTCTTCAAGCTTTAATTCCACACTCAATCCACAGAGAAGCTCAGCCGAAACTAACGTTATTGTATTCACGCTGAGTCCTTCAAGCTAATTGATTAAATCCATTAGTGCTTTCCACAGCGCGTTGGCGCGTGCGTCCCGTTCAACACCGCGGATGTGGATTCAACCTCTAATTCTGACAAGCTGTGAAGAAAACGAGCGCCCCTCTCCCTCCACCAAATACCAACTAACTATACACACACGTGGTTCATTCAAATGAATCATTCTGTTTAAATATAGCTTTAAAAAAATCATTGTTTTTAGGTTTGCAATGATTTTCTGATTTGTTTTGATGTTATCTTCCTTTCAAAGCCAGGTGCCTCTTTATCAGTTTCGACTGATACAGAATGGTGTAAGTCCAGTTGTCAAAGAGCACAGTTGTCTTTATATCCCTTCTGTTATTGAATGTGCCAATATCACAGTATTGATCGGGTCTTTTGATTAAGATATAAAGCTCCATTAGACCTGATGTACTTCTCATGCAGGGTTAAAACTAAGGAAGATTCACAGAATATAAAAGTATATGCATACGAAGTCATAATATATGTCATAATTTAACAGTATATACGCCTTTAAAGTATAGACTTTTCTGCAAGTTTTCTCCAGCAAAAAAAAACCCCAAACCAGTCCTGTTTTCCTTGTGTATTACTGCTCTAAACATAATACACACTGTATTTACAATTTAAATGGGCTGCATAAGTGACTCGTCTGCAAGGTGCAAGTATTACTGTGGGACCGTGTATTGTAGATTTAACGTCGCCGCTGTCACCATAATGGGGACTATTGTCTGTGTAATGTTAGTCAGCAGTCTCAAAGACAGATATTCATTGAAACCGCAGAGGAAGCAAGCACCTGTAATGACATCCTAATATACTAAAGTGGGATCACACGCATTAGGGGGTTTTCGGAGGGAACATTAATGGGGATAAACAGAATTATCATTATTATTTTTTTGTATGTTTTTATGGCTAATAATTCTACAATATTCTGTTCAGTGCTTTTTCAGTAACAACGTCATTGTAGTATTTAATAGTGACTTCATAGTATTGCCTACTTTATCCTTATGTCTTATGCTTTTTGCCACCACAATATAGCCATTATTCATAAGTGTTATAAGTATTTATAGTGCTTGGAAATTAGTTTATTCCGATATTTTTGCACCACATGAACTAATAGTCCTATGAATAATTCACAACAAGTGTGTGTATTTAAGAGTGATTAACAGTGTTTATTTACAATATACATTCGATAATTTAAAGTTTTTTCATGCTGTATTATTTTTAAATATCATATACACTGGGGAAAAACTGACAAAAGAATTGCTGTAGGTATATAAATGAAAGGCTGAAAGGGTAAAAGCTGCAGCCATCCTGTTGCAGTTTCTGTGAGTCTGAATCTCTGCTGGAGTTTTGACTGATTTCAATACACTTTGTCTCGCTTCTCTGGTGAAGTCACTCAGTCTATTTCAGTATGTTTTCCCCATCTTTTTTTATTTAAATGAAGAAATGTCAGAGACGAAATGCAGCTATTTTGGTTGTTTGATGTCCTGTGAGCTCATCACGCCCCGTTGTACACACCTAGTTTTTGTGCCGAGCAAATATTGGTCAGCGGTAATCGTGTAATAAACACTCCTTGATCATGTTTGTTTCAGTCCTGTAAAATGTACTTCGATAGAGACAGTGGATGGGCGATAAGAGCTGAGAGCCACAATGTAATTAGTAACCAGCCCGTCCTCCTGGACACTTTGATGTTCACCTCTATACCCTGCTGCCTCTCAGGACCTATTGATTAGATTCCATCTATCTCCGATGGGCAAAGGTGTCATTTGATTTTCCCTAATATGGTTTTAATAAGTGAATCAAGGAACATTTCTATTTTTCTCGAATTAAAACGCAAGACCCTCATGTCAGCGACTTTTAATATGTATGCAAAGATATAGGAGCAGTCAAACATATGGATTATTGGTGATTAAAGAAGGATAAAACAAACCATATGCCAGACTTTTACAGAGGCATAAACAGAATTATTTTTAACTTAAAAAAACTCAGTCCAACTATCATCAGTTTACTTTATGATGTGCTTTATTTTCCATGTGTCTCATAAAGAGGGAAACGATGTGATCGGGTTCAACACTTTATCTTTGATGGATAGCTCTGATTGCTTTGTGGCTCTTCTAGATTGATCCAAGCGTTAAACGTTGATCTTTTGTTATATGAAAGCCACATTGAGTTTTATTACAGACTCAAGTCTCTTTTACTTCTTAAGTTTCGTGGGATGGTTGATTGGGGCGTCAGATAGGCCTATCACCGACCCGAGAAAACACCTGGAATTCACACCTTAAATCCACTCCTCCAGGCCTCCCATTGGTGGAGCTCCCGCATATATCCGTCACGGTGCACCACCAGGAGGATGACAGTGGCCTGCAGCAGAGTCACAACATCATCACCATCTGTAAACATGCATTTCGGCCACGACCCCGCTGCTTTCCAGCTTTGCGCAAACAGCGCCATGTTCGAGGGCGAAGACTCGGGCTCCGTCGACGGGGAGCAGATGACCGAGGTGCGCTCCCCGAGTTCAGGGCCCTCCAGCCCGCTGTCCGTGAACTCGGACTCCAGCTGCGCCAGCCCCGAGGCCAAGTCTGCGTCGACGCAGCAGAGAGTCAGGAGGCCCCTGAACGCCTTCATCATCTGGACCAAAGAGGAGCGCCGGCGGCTAGCGCAGCTTAACCCAGACCTGGAGAACACGGATCTGAGCAAAATACTTGGTAAGAAATTGATTAACCGCTTGAAAATGTGATTGATAAGTCCAGTGGTTGCTAAAGTTAAAGTGACCCTATGGAATATTAAAGTGTTCCTTCATAAACATATTAGAAATGTTTAATGTTTGTTCTTATATGGGGAAAACAACGACAATGTAAATGGGTTTATAAATGGGCTTTAAATGGGTCTTATAAGATAATAAAATGTTGATTCACATTTAAGTCAGTTTTGATAAACCAATATGCAGATCATTAACCCTATGTGTTTCTGCAGGAAAAACTTGGAAGGCCATGTCCCTGGTTGAGAAGCGTCCATACATGCAGGAAGCAGAGCGTCTGAGAGTCCAGCACACCATCGACTACCCCAACTACAAGTACCGGCCCCGCAGGAGGAGGCAGCTGAAGAAGAGCTCCAAACAACACCAGGCTGCAGAGGTTTCTCACCCCTCGCTCTGCAGCTCTGGCTTCCCTGTGCCTTATAACCTCACCTACCTGCTCCAGAACCAGCAGCAATCCTACCCAAGCAGCACTGCTTTCACAAACTCCCCGGCTAACTTCCCCCCTTTGCGCAGCAGCTACCCACACACTCCAACAACAACAGCAGTGGACGTCTCGTCAAATAAGCCTGTGGTGTACCCAAACCCTCCTGCGTACCCTGCAGAGCACCAGGTGTATTATTGCAGTCAGCGCGTACACATGCAGCACGGCTTCTCCAACGCTGCAGGTCCCCATGTGGATCAGGGGGAGTCCAGCAGGGTTTACGGGGGCCTGCTGGGCCCTGCCGGGCCCTCCTTAGAGTTTTACCTGGAACAGGTTCAGCTGGACATGCTGTACGATCTGGACCGCAGCGAGTTCGAACAGTACCTGGGCCCGAGCCCTCACAGGCCCGAGTCAGTGGACGCCAGCAGCTACCAGAGCAGCCACAGAGAGGGACGCTCTGTCTCATGAAAGTACTAAACATGGTGTATTTATTTATATTATCTCAGTGTGTCATTTGATGACTGCTGGAGGTGTTTATTGTGTTAAATGAGTACTGTACTGTCTTCCAATGTAATTATAATAAATAAATAACCAATTCAACTTACAATGTTCATGTTTTTATTAATATTTCTAAATACAAGAAAAAGGTAAGATCAACTGACACAAACACTTAAAATATAACTATTATTTTTCATTATGGTGTTAAAAGGCTAGTGCAATGATTTCACTTTTCATAAAGTTGAGACAAAGTATAATAACTTTTGGTCCCTTAATTAAATGGGTCAACACTGCAAAAACACTGGATAATACACTTCCCATAATGCAACTTTATGTTTTGTTAGACCCTCCATGGAGTCAACTTCTTGATAAGTAAAAGTTTGTACTCTGAGATAACTCATCCTGACAACATCATGTATCTTGCCATTTATTTATTTTCTTCTGTGTACTTTATGGTTGTAAGGTAGATAGTTCAAACAAACACAGGACTCTGGTCCAGGAGGCCTGCCGTTTGTGTCCCATGAGAACAAAAAATAAACTGACATTTCTATCACGTCAGTCGTTAGTCATGTGACTAGTTTGTCACTCCTTCAAGCATGCTCTTTTCCCTAAACCTACTTAAGTGGTTTTGTTGCCTAAACCTTACTTCCTGTGAAGACAGAAGTTTATTTTGAAAAGACACTATGCATGTAACTCGCCACCACACACGTCCAAAACTGACGCGAGAGGGTTACGCAGAGCGCCATAGTTTGAAGTGTATATTCCCACTGACAAAGCTGTGTTATGTAACGCATTGGTGTGAGAATGTTTTGACTCCTCATCTGATCTTGATGTGTATAACGTGTGGAGTTCCCCTTTAAGAGGACTGCGAACAACTTTAAATATCTGTTTTATTGAACAATGTCGTAGCTATACTACCCACCCTTTGGCAGAAGCCAAACTGTTGACACACAGTTTTATCTCCATCCTCATGTCTTTCTTGGCTCACAGAGGGAAGCAGGGTGGGCGCCAGGGGCATAAACTTCCCAACTTCCTGTTTCATTTTAAAACATCTCACAAAGGCTCTAAAAATATGCCCCAAAATCCACATATCTCCAAACTCGTTCGACTCTGGCTGCCAAATGTTTACTCATTTAGGAAAATGTTTACTTCCCTGCCCTGTGTTTTCTGTGTCAGAGCCACGAGGTCGAAGTCAGACGGATGTAAGATCCAGATCGTCCAAGATGTCAGGTGCTGCAACGACGAAACCCTTTAATGCTCAACACAGTAAAAAGTATTTTAAAAAAACATTTAATCTTTCTCGAATCAGATATACAGCAAAAGTACACATTTAGAAATTTGATCTGTTTCCATTGAAGGGAATTAAAATACTTTTTATTTTATTCATCTCTTTTTATGGACAAGAGCAATGAAACCCAAACTTACATACAACATAAATATGAAAAGTTTTTTAAGATAAATGAATGAACAAAAAAATCCTGCACATTGTCGATCTGTTGTACTTTGTAAAGTGTGTACAGGATGAATTTTTTCACAGTCCTTTGGTAGATAAAAGATAAACATATAAAATAGAAATAACTAATGGTTAGATAAAAGAAGCAGTCTGATAGTATCTGATCAACTGTTTTTTTTTTTTTTTTTGGGTGGTGACACCTCTTTAATTACAAATCATTGCTGACTTCAAACACAAGAACACTTACACAGTCTAGAGGCAGAAATTGCACCATATCCGGTGATCAGAGTGAAGTTTCCACATCTGTTATTGTGCTTAAATCTGTCTTTTCTTTCACAATCATAGCAAATATTACAAGTATCACTCCGGATTTACCTCATTAATGACTCTACTTTCATTGAAAACATCTAAATATTGTCCGGACATGATGCTGATATGTTAATTTCAACTGATATATTTGGAAAATACTGTCAGAAATATAACCTTCACCATTAACGGACAGTTTTTGTCAGTATACACTTTCACTACTATGCTCATTTAAGCCTCTGAAACTAAACTAAATCAAAACTCCACCATGCAAAGAGTTATTTTCCTGCTGTTGGAAAATAACCTCTTTGAAGGAAGACACCTGAAGACAGCAGTGCACTTTTGGGACTTTTTTTTTGGGCCTAACTCTCTTCCATCGAGTGCCAGAGATGAGTCAAGTTGAGGTACTTATTTGTCAGTGAGATATCACAACTTAAAACGTGCTCCACCAAGCGAAAAGACAGACGGCAGCAGCGTTTGGAAATGAGTCAGTGATGGAAATCCGATGTGGAGTTGTCGGGAGGAAATGGACGGCTGAGGGAAGGATGACCTTCGTCGGAGGAGAGAGCAGAAGAGCTGATTAGGAAAGTGAAGACCTGCTGCAATCCAACGCCACCTGAATGAGCGGAAGAAATCTGACGTCAGTTCAATTCCCATGACAATATTACAAAACACACTGCAGTGTGGAATGCAGAAATGTGCTCCGATGCAAAGTAATAATGTTGAATACACTCGATAATAAACAAGTATTACCGCTTTATGTGCTATCGGTCCTTGTTTTCCCTCTTTTGAGCAACTTGAACTCAAAGCTGTTTGTTCAACTCGCTGTTTTTCTCAAACGTCGGCCCCCTCAGCAACAATTAATGACCAGTTGCAGGAACTTCCTGAAGGAAAAACAACGGGATGGTATCAGTGTTTCAGGTGAAAATATCATCAACAATAAACAGCGATGGAAATGGCAGTTGGGCAAATCAGATATCTTTGTCAAATATTTACAAGCCTGTGTTTTTTATAAGCTTCTGGTTTGTTAAATCATATAAAACAACTGAAAAGTGAATCTGGAAGAGGTGGAACTGGAATATAAATAGAAATAAATACTTTTATTCTGTCAGAAATGTGCTGGAAAGCTCACAGAGGCATGTTTGATGTTATCACCTGTGAGGAATGTGAGGAATCTCAACATGTCCAACATGCTGGAATTCAGATTCCTCAACCATAAAATACTTTCCTCGTTAGAGATTAAATATGTAAATATGCCAACTCTGTTTGTCCAATATCGACAGGCCAAATATCTGGAGTTTATATTAAACCTAAAAATAGATTTGAGCTCTCTTACCTGTAACATCTTTGAGATTTTGTGAGCCATTATTAGGTTTTTCTTGTCTTACTTTTGGCACGAAGTTCATCAATAGTTTCCTTTGGGTAAATACGAGGCTGCAGTCTGCAGATAATGCTCATCCGAGTATTATTCTGCAGGGACGTCTGAGGAAACTCAAACAGGAAGTGAGATACTCCCCAGTTTCTTATCCTGAAGGAATAATGTGGTAAAGAGATGGTTTCATTGTTTACAACTGGAAAATGTAATTCCATAAGACAAAACTGCAGAAGTTCCCGAGAGCTCAGAAGAACAGGAATTTCTGGTTGAATTTATGTGTCTGATCACTTCATTATGTCAGCCGGCTCCAATCATGCACTCATTGGGCCGATCAGATTGCTATAACTTCATCAGGCCACTGCTTTGGAGTTTCAGCAGCCTTTCACCTGCGCGTCTGACAGGTTTGCATCGTGTGTTACTTCAGACGTGTGCAGACTGTAGCTTAGGGACTCATTCAACGGGTAAGTAAAAAGTGTAAAGAAAGCGTAAATCGTTAAAGTCCAAGTGGGTGAATTAACCCTTTATATAAATAATAAATGAGTTATATTTGCAGACATATAATTAAAGTCCCAAATGAGAAGGACGAGGTCTCACTCATGGTGTGCAGAGAGAGAAACTTCTTTGTGGTTTTTAATGACGTCAGCCAAGAGACAGACAGAGAGATGATGACTGTAACAGGGTCGGACAGACTGGAGAGAATAGAGCCGCTGGGTGTGTCCCTGTGACCTGCTGGGCCGATACAATGCTCACCATCAGAGTCTCTGAGCAAAGACGCTAACGCCTGTCAACAAACACTCAGGGGATGATTAACACAAACACAATCCTCAAACTGTTTGTGTCTGGGATGGTTCTTTTTATACTTCTCTTTAGATATATGATGATTTATAAGTGTCGACTATATGCTGTACTTTTTCTTCAAATTTTTAAATCACTTTTGACAACAACAAAAAACTAGAGGTATTTTAACTTTTTAATCATCAGAATGAAATGTGTCGTGTTGTTTTGGAGTAATTCCTGCCAGATTATTTTATGTGGAAATAACGTCACACCTTCTTCCTCAGCGTCCTCTGGTACTTCATGACTCAGTCTGCGAGTATGTCAATGAGTTTATCTGCATGTGTGTGTGTGTGTGTGTGTGTGTGTGTGTGTGTGTGTGTGTGTGTACCGTGAGCATCATTGTTTTCGAATACTGATTAAATTATCATTCCAGATAAAGAGGTGAGACGCACCTATCAACACTATTTCAGGACGTGATTGTATCTTGATAAAAAAAAGTGCTTCAGAGAGAAGCAGCTTCTTATATCCACTGACCTTTGATTTATAAGAAGTGGATGTCCCCCATTGGTTGGTGGACTGCGGCATATTAAGTTAACGTTGAGCCCCATGAGCTGGATAAAACACTGTACAATTCCTCATTTATATATGTGTGTGTTTGTGTTGAAGTGGTGAAATAAGAATATGCTCATTATTCTGACACAATGACTAATAATGCAGCTATTTAAAATTAACATGTAATGTGAGCATGTGTATGTTTTATAACTACAAAGCATTTCCATACAATGACAACACCAGTGGCACTGAGGTGATGTTACAGTACGGAGGGGGGTCCATCCCCTCAGCCTTGTCAGTGGGCACCTGTTAGTTTGTGTTGACGTGGCTTCTTTAGCACCTCTGCTGATTGACTTAGCAAGTAAAATACTGACAACTCACCAGGCCCCTCAGCAGGTAGCGGACTGTGTGCATACAGCGGCGAGCTGGTAGCACCTGAGAGCAACGCATTGTGTGCTAAGCTGCTGCTGTAAAATCCCTTTGCTTATAATGCTCTGATATGGAGGT